TACCCATAGGACGTGCATCCGCACTGCAGAAATAATCTAGTCTGATACCGCTTGGACCTCCGTGGCTCAGTGCTGTGGAATCCTGGGAACTGTAGTTTTGTGTGACATTTTAACCTTCTCTGTCAGAGAGCACTGGACCCAGATTCCACAGCATGCAGCCTTGGCAGTTTAAAGTGGTGTCAAACTGGGTTATATTCCTGCAGTGCGGATGCAGCCAGGGTCGCCATAAGTTGAAGCGGACTTGACTGCAAATTAAATACAATAAAAGCAGGCAATGTCAGCAAGCAAGAGCTGGATTCTGCACAGGTTCCTAAAATGGCTCCCAATGCATCCATCTTTACCATCTTCTCAAAGAAGCAAGAGAAAAGGAGGAAGATGCAATATCTATCTGTCTATCTATCTATCTATCTATCTATCCAAACACACATATATATACACACACAATATCTATCTATTCATCTATCTATCTATCCATCCAAAAAAAAACACACACACACAATATCTATCTATCCATGCATCCAAACACACACACACACACACACACACATATATACACACACAATATCTATCCGTCTATCTATCCATTCAAAAACACACACACAACATTTATCTATCTATTCATCCAAACACACACAGACACAGACACACACATATATACATACACACATTATCTATCTATCTATCTATCTATTCATCCAAACACACACACAGACACACACACACACACATATATGTACACACACAATATCTATCCAAACACACACACACATACACACACAGTATCTATCCATCCATCCATCCAAACACAGACACACACACATATGTACATACACACAATATCTATCTATCTATGCATCCAAACACATACACACATGCACACACAATATCTTGTCTATCCATCCATCCAAACACACACACACACACATATACACACACAATATCTATCTATCCAAACACACACACATATATGTATGTGTGTGTATATATATATATATAGATATATAGATATAGATATAGATAGATAGATATATACACACACACACACAACATCTCTCTCTCTCTTTATATATATATATATATATATATATATACTCTCTCTCTCTCTCTTTATATATATATATATATATATATATATATATATATATATAAACATTGCGTTCTCCTAATATCTATTTCTCGGACCAGGGTTAACTTGTAAAACAAGTACATCACAGTAAAATTAAAACTGCAAAAGCAATCACCGAGGGAGATGTTAGCGCGGAGGAGAGAAAAGGCGAAAAAAGAAGAATGCAAACATTTATCTAAATTGGTCTCCTGGCTACAGACTGCAGAAAAGGCATAAAAAGGAAGATTGCTGGAAAAACTGGAGGCTGGGAGACGTAGCACCGAAGGCAAAACACTTAGGCCTCGGACCTAGCCTGCGTTTGGGATTTGATGTGAAAACTACAAAGCGCTGGTTATAGATTTGCAAAGGGAAAGGGTTTCGGGTTTTAAGAACACAGAGGTGTTGAGTGAAGAAAGAAACGTAGAATATTCTCAGACTAGGATAAAACTAGATTTCTGGAGCATCCAGAGACCACAAAAGTCCCATATTTTGTTCCTTTTCTTTCCCATTTTATTTGGGGAAGGGGCATCTGCACTGTAGAAATAATGCAGTTTGACGCCACATTAAATGCTGCAGATCTCCATCCAATGGGATCCTGGAATTTGTAGGTTCACACGGTCTTTGGCCTTCTCTGCCACAAAATGCTAGTGCCTGCCCCAAACTACAAATCCCAGGGTTCTGTAAGATGGAGCCATGGCTGTTAAAGTGGTGTCAAACTGGATCATTTCTACAGTGTAGATGCACCCTTTTGGAGATCCATACACATTTTGTTTATCCCAAAATATTTTCCCGGTACGATCACAGACTTTTTCAAACACTAAACAGTTTTAACCCAGTATATAAAGTCAGAAAGAACAGGAATAAAATTTGATTTTTTTCCCCCACTAGTCCAGATGTGCCCAGAAGAAATTAATATAACAATAATTTTTGGAGCAAAACATTTCTATCCCACCCTATACCAAAAAAATCTCAGGGTAGCACAAACAGAACACATTTTCCACTACAAAAACCATAAACTGCTGAATTGCGAACTCCGAGTGGCATCCAATCTTGGAAGCTAAGCAAGGTCAGCCCTGGATAGTCCTTGGATGGGAGACCGCCAGTGAATACCAGGCTCTATTCCAGAGGAAGGAAGAACTGCCAAAACCACCTTCCTTGCTTAAGAAAATCCTCGGAAATTCATGCGGTTGCCACAAATCGACAGGCGACCGGAAGGTAGGTGTGTACACACATGCACAAAGGCACCAGATCCTATCTGGTCTTGGAAGCTAAGCAGGGTGAGACCTGGATAGTCCTTGGATGGGAGACCACCAACAAATAATGGGTGCTGTCAGCTCTATTTCAGAGGAAGGAAGTGGTAAAACCACCACTTAAGAAAACCCTATGAAATTGACAGGCAAACTAAACACACACACACACAAAATATCTTAAAGGGACCAGATCCTGTCCGCTCTTGGAAGCTAAGTAGGGTCAGCCCTGGTTAGCCCTTGGATGGGAGACCGCCAACAAACCCAAGTGCTGCAGGAAATATTTCAGAGGAAGGAACTGGCCAAACCGCCTCTGAGTCTTCCTTGTCTAAGAAAACCCTATGAAATCCATGGGGTTGCCATAAGTTGACATGGGACCTGACTGCACACACAAGACCCCATATGCTCTTGGAAGCTAAGCAGGGTTAGTCCTGGTTAGGACTTGGATGGGAAACCACCAACAAATCCCAGGTGCTGCAGGGGTTATTTCAGAGGAAGGAACTGGTCAAAGCACCCCTGAGTCTTCCTTGCCTAAGAGAATCCTATGAACTTCATGGGGGCCCCATAAGTCAATAGGCAACTTGAAGGCACATATGGACACACAAACACACACAAAGCCATATATCGCAGCATCATTCCTCCAAGTCCTCCATTCAAACCATGCCAGCTTTAACACACCTTGACATGTTGCAAATTGTGGGTGCATCCACACTGTAGAAATAATGCAGTCTGAGAAGGGCAGCCGCTCCATCCTTTAGGACTTGTTGTTTTGCAAGATCTTGAGCCTCCGCTGCCCAAGAGCGCTGGTTAAACTACAAATCCCACGATCCTGTAGGATGAAGCCATGGCCATTAAAGTGGTATCAAAATGACACTATTCCTACAGTTTGGATGCATTCTGTGACTCTCCCCTATCTCTTTCCTTCCTTGGAAACTCTCCCCAGACACACATCTTGTCCTGTTGTGGTTGTGGTTGTACAACAACGACCACAGCAACAACCCCAGTCCATTGCCTCCAAGCCACCAGTAACTTTTGAATAAATGATGCTGATATTCCTTCCATAGGAATATTCACTTGATCAGCCTTCACATGAACCAAACAGAGCAAAAAATGCACTGGATTGCAATGGTAACCCAATATAAATCCTATACAGCGCAAATAAAAGGAAGACATAGCACAATGTGCAATGATAACACAACAAAAACAATGCACTGTTTTCATTGCTCCAGCTAGGAGATGTCCATTAATAGTATATGGCTTCTCTTTTTGACTTCTAAGGTGCTATAGTTGTGGATTCCTGCATGGTTGGGGGTTGGAGTAGATGGCCTTTGGGGTCCCCTCCAACTCTACAATTCTATGGTTGTTGTTGTTGTTGTTGTGTACCTTCAAGTTGTTTCCGACTTATGGCGAGCCTAAAGCAACCCTCTCATGGGGTTTGCTTGGCAAATATCTTTAGAAGGGGTTTACCATTGCCATCCTCTGAGGCTGAGAGAGTGTGACTTGCCCATGGCGATTCAATGGGCTTCCATGGCCAAGCCGGGATTCGAACCCAGGTCTCCGGAGTCATAGTCCAACGCTCAAACCACTACATCACACTGGAAGCGAGGCTAATTTCATTCACATCCCTACCATTGGGGGGAAAAAGAAATTGCAAACATTCATCTCAAGGGCTGCATCCACACAGCAGAAATAACCCAGTTTGAGACCACTTCAACTGCCGTGGCTCAGTGCAATGGAATTCTGGGATTTGTAGTTTTGGGAGACACTCTGCCTTCTCTGTCAAAGAGCTATGGTTCCCCAACCACCTACAAACCCCCGAACTCCATAGCATTGAGCCAGGGCAGCTAAAGTGGTGTCAACCTGGATTATTTCTGGAGTGCGGACGCAG